TCTTTTGATGCTTGGGAGAGAGAAGGAACAGTCATCTCCCAGGCTGTACTTGGTGACTGCACAGGGAACAGGCAAAGGCAGAGAACAGTCTTTGTCACTTGGACTGAAGATCGAGTTCAGACATCAGGAAGTGACCCAGATGCAGCTGCAGAAAGGCAGATCTTGTAAAGAAAAGCGAGTCACAGGGAGGCAACTTGCGGCTGCTGGACCCATGTGTAAGAGTAGGATGACACTGGAGAAAAAGGAAACTCTTCAAAGAGCTGAGCTCCTTCATGTGTTCCCCTTCACTGAATCCATCTCTCCAATTGGGGCTGCTTGCTCACCGAGGTTAGGTACCCAAATAGATGCAGGCATGCTTCTCCCACTGTGGCTGGCCAAAAGACTATGCCTTATTGGCACAGTGATATGTTGAGAGCAGTCTCTGACTCTTTAACTGCTAGGCTTAACCATCCACCATAACTATTCATTACACTGCACACCCAGATAAAACCTCCAGCTGTTCCCAAAAACAACAGCTCATCAACAAAAGCCAGCATGAGCGCCTCAGGCAAATGCTTTGCTTTTGTGTTAGCTCCCTGTTGACTAAAGCAACCCAAGGCCCCTTTCTGACCATCAGGGCTTACAGAAGGTTTGGCCACAGCTGAAAGGGAGGTGATTTTCTTCCCTGTGCTCCACATTTTCACACCATTTACATTGCTCTCAAATCCCACAGCTCATAAGTGACAGGCTCCCTGCATGGATGCAGACCGTTCAGAAGAGATGGCCCAAGACAGGAGAAGTGTCTGTTGCCATTGCTGCTCCCAGGATTATCAAATGGATGCAGCCAAGCTCTTGGACTGAACTGACTTTGCTATTACTGTATTAATGCTGGTTTGCATGTTTACTACCTTGCCCATTTCAAACTTCACTGAGCTGAACCTTAATAAACATATATTCTGAATGGGTTTTTGTTATTGTTGCTTTTTTTATTTTTTTTTTCCCCTGGCCATTAAGACTCATTATGTGGAGTCATCAGCTGTTTTGCTTTGTTTCCCATCTGTTCATACAGTACTTTGGTTCTGGGACTTCTCCCAGAGTGTGAGATAATACTGCAGATGGGAGTGCAATTTCCACTGTTTTGATTTTGCCCCAGTGGGGCTTCGTGTGGCCACTGGTGGAAAAATGACAATTGCAATGGTTTTGATTAAAGATTTTCCATATTATAGAAACTTGTCAAATCTCAAGATTTTCAAGATCATGTTGCCAACTAGAGTCAGTGGCAGTTTTGTTTCTAAGAGGATTTTCAATCCTTTCCCCATCTAAAATGCCTCCATTCTCTGAAGTAAAAAAGGACTCTTTTTTGAGAACAAATCTTGTGCAATTTCCAGTCACAGGAAAAACCACCCCTGCCTGTGGCTGGGGAGAAGATAACGTTCTGGTCCCATTGCTGTTAAGGGGAGCAGAAATTGGAACCTAATGAGACTTTGAGGGGCAAGTCTAGTCTCCTGTGACCGCTGGTAACCACCTTATATCAGACCTTTCACTCTTGTATTGGTTAGGTTGTCATATTGACAAGCTGTTTCAGTAACTCACTCCTCTGATGACTAGCAAACTTACTCCTGTAATTTGCAGCCAAGGTATACTTCAGTCAGCTTATACCCATTTGATCTTATGCCTAAGTTGTCCTTTTTCTCAAATACCTGTTCTCTCTCCCCAGTTTTTATTCCCTCCTGTATTTGTAGAGAATGATCATATCCATTTCAACCTTTGCTCTGCAAGGCTGAACAAACCACTATTTTCCATAGTTTCTTGCTGGAAAAATATGCTCTCTGCTCTCCTCACCCTCCTCGCAACTCTCAGGTGAACTGGTTTCAGTTTATATGCATCTGCCCTGGTGACAGGAGCCAAAGCACTGCTGTCAGTCCTGAAGCCAACGTACGGGCACGTACCTGCTCCAGCTTCACTCCCTCCCACTGCTGCTTGGTGCCGCATTTTCTCCTGGTCTGCATTTTGAGATTTATTGTAATTTTCAGGTGATGACTTCAGTTTGGTCTCAGGCACATCTTGAAAATGCCCTCTTTGTCCCCCTCTGCATTCATTTTCTAACATAGATTAAGTGGCTACAAAAGTATTTTGGTCAGTTATTCTCTGATGCCATTTCCTGGCATTTTTCTTCCAGTTCTATAATTCCTATCTTGATCTCTCAGCATCTCTGCTACTAAAATTGCTAGGCACTGTATTTGGAGTAGGTTGTGCCCAGGGTGAGCTTCTCTCTAGGCGTAGGATGGCGGTATTACATTTCACAGGCATATTTCTCTGTGGTCACAGTGCAAGACTCCAAGCTATTCTAGCAGCATTGGGCTCCAAGATTAAGAAAGCTATAACACAGCACTGGTCCAGTGGCAGCTCTAGCGAGGATGTACTTGTATGGCTTTACAGCCAGTGGCCGCAGAGCCAGGAGGGGCAACCTGCAAACCTGCACCTTGTCACGCAGCAGGACAGTGCTCCAGGGGTGGGAACAACCACCGTCCCCCCAGCCTCCGGGGTTAATCCACCTCTCATAAGCACTGCCCTCCCCTGCAGCTAATTACTGGGCAGGTAAACTTGCAGTGATATCTGGGAAGTCAGAGAGGAGAAGACCCATAATTGTTCAGCAAGGCTTTTCATCCTTAAATTACAGGCACCCAAGAAGGCTCAGTCTTCATATATTTACCCCTTTCAGAGGAACATAAGTGCTAAAGAAAAGGTCAGCCACCTTTTTTTTTGTTAAACCCAACATTTCAGCATAGAAACGCTTACAAAATTACCATGTTTACTCAAGGGTTTAAAGATTTTTACGCTGTGAGTGGAGCAGGAGAGGAGAGTTTTTTAATGAAACTGCAAAATTGCTTTAATAAAGGAAAAAATTATAGGGCAATTGTGAGAGAATTCTATTTAAGATGACGACTAATGCCAGGAGATCACCTATGCCTGGTGTAAACCTCCCTGGAGTATCCAGGAATTTCAGCCATGGCCTGAGACTCTCGTTGTATAAGAGATGTATGAACCTAAAGAGGCAAGGAGGGGGGGTATATAAAGATGGGTAATGCTGGTAGAAGTCTGTGGACCTTTTAGTAGGCCTTAGATATAAATCTGGTCTAAAAAATCTAATAAAGCACAATTATGCTTCTTAAGTGCAGGCTTTTACCTCAAGTTAGGCCAAACCGTAATTTCAGGGGAAGAAGAATCAAAGCAAATACTCATAGGAGAAAATCTGTCGAAGCAGTGAACTTTTCACCTCTAATAGCTAGTAATGACCATGGGCTACATGATCAGATGGTTCACTTAACTGCCGAGTAACGAAATTAGGCTAAAAGTTAGATCTAGTCTGCCCAGAGGCAACATGACAAATTAGATTCATCCATTCGCCATATTTGTATTAATGCACTTTTGTATTAGTGAACAGATTATAAAAGAAGTCTTCGCCTTGAGGCAGGGTTTTCTGGCACTGAACTCATTTTCAAGCTGAGGTCCTCCCCTGAGGGCATGATAAGACTCTCCCTTCTTTGCAGCTGAGGATCTGATCCTCAGCAACGGTTTACCTGTGAACAGCTCTTAACTCTTTGGAGCTTCAAAAACTGCAGATTTCTTTCTATAAAGCTACATAAATTGTACATTCTTGCTATATGTTTTAATAATAATGGAATATTTAGTTAGCATCTTTCTAAAATCATTCAGTGTGTTCCACTGCTAATATTAAAAAAAAAAAAAAAAAAAAAAAAAGTTGTTTTAAAATCAGCTCTCTGGGACAGGCTCTGCAAACTCACCCTGGCCCCCAGTCTTGGCTGGCAGTCAGTAGTGAGAAATGCTGACTATGCAGATGGCCACCTCTCCTCATGCTGTGGCTGCGACCCTGCAAAGGGTTGTAGCCCTGTGGTCTCACAGCCCAGTGATTCGTGGGACTCACAGCACTTCATGTCAGTGTTTCTGTGTTTCTAGCACGAGGCTACACTTTGCAGCCGCAGCGGCGTGGCATCCCTCTGACCTGGGAGGGAGCAGGGAATCAAGAACGCATTTCTTTTCCCTCTGAAGATGAAAGACTTTTAAAATTAATTGCGTGACATTATGGCTTGTCTGTGTTGTCAGCTTTGATTTTGCTGTGACAAAATGATGGCCTCTCCCTGTCATACAAAGTGATGCCATGTCTGTGAGCACCGCACTCATCAAGTGGCAGCAGCGAGATAAAGCATCGCTGCCATCTGCATTGAAAGCAGTTTTGAGGAGTGCGGTGCGGCGGGTGAGGCAAGGGCAGATGTTACACTCCTGCAGGGGAGCCAACCCGGCCATCGCTCGCTGCAGCTGGTGTTGGCTCTGCCGTACCACCCACAAACCTATGCCTGGTATCCAACCCTCCTCACCCCATCCCCAGACCCAATGCAAATTACTGAGGGTGATACTCTCGAGAGGTGTAATTTTAAGCATTCAGAGCTGAATGCACAACCACTAGCTCTAAAATCGGAGGTCTTAAAAGAGCAGCTCTGCTGCCTTAGCAGGGCTGGACGGAGAAAGCAGAAGCAGAAGCAGCGGGAGGAAACTAACCCATTTTCCCTTTAGAGGGCAGTGGTGTTCATCGTACAAAAGCTGCATTTCTGAGGAGGTGAAACCCTTATCATTAATAACTGGGGTCACCAGCACCACAGCAGCAGCAAGTAATAGGAACCAGCACTGAAGTGGTGCTGCTGGCCGCACGACACCGTACAGAAGAGCATCTCACGCTGATATATTTTCTATAATGCTCTGTGCAGGGGCTTATTAATTTCCCCTTGTTTTCCTTCACAGTAATCAGATGAGTAATTACAGTTCCACAGAGAGGCTTCCTTTCTCCCACCACACCGCGAACGCAGTCCCGGGTGAAGCGCTCCTTACTGTCAACGTTTGCCAAATTACAGCCTCTGTCCGAGCCAGATGAGCCCTTCCTGTTAGATTTATGCCAAACCAGTTTGGAAAACCAAATAAGAGATGATTTCAAAGGCAGTACTAACCTTTTCATGGGTTTGGGCGAGGTGTCCCGCTCCAGGTTGGAGGACGCATGCTTCACGTGCATGGCATTGTAGGAGGTGTGGGTGTACTCGTTTTCATCACTGTAGTCGGGACCGAGTAATGTTCGAGCCCATGTCCCCATGTCGTACGGAGGAAGAGTCCCCCCGAATTCAGAGGGCAGGCATTCAGGGTGTATTAGCTGGTGAAGGCTGTTCAGGTTGTTACCATGAAGAAAGATCTTTAACAAATAAAAAGGAAGTTCAAAGTCATCATCGATTCCTTAATTCATTAAGTACAATAATAACAGCACTAATGAGGTGTGGAGCACCATTAGTTGATGCTGCAGTTTCAGGTGGGAATTTCTGAAGCACTCAGGGCTAGTGTGGGCAGGTGGGAGGAGGGGGATTACCTTTGGCGTGCGCAGCTGAAGAATTAGGCTGGCACCATAAATACTTCTGAAAATCCTGATTTGCTTACTTTTGGCACATGACACTTTCACTTTCTTAAGTACCGGATCAGGGAAAGTGCAAGTCAGGAATAATGACGGATTATTGCTACTGTAAGAGGATAGAGGCTTGTACGAAGAGCGGGGAGGAGAAAAGGGAGATAGTGGAGCTTACTGAACGAAGATGTGAAGAGTAGGTCCTCAGCATTTGAGAGGGCAACCCAGCCCTGCACCCCGGGACTGACGTTTCCCAGGGGTGTAAGTCTGTCGCCCCTTTGCACTGCTTCAGTGACATTTGTCTCTCTAATCTTTCTTTGCTTTCAAGCTGGTACTCCCCGTGTCCTGCCTGGTCAGACACACCCCAGGGTGGGTTCTGGGGCCTTCTGAGAGATGATCCAGTGGTGATTTGATAGACTGCAGAGGACAAATGGCCAAGATGACTGCAGGACCACAGTTCACATGGGTTTTGGTGGGGAAGACCTGCCTCTTCTGCAGTGTGAGCAAACAGCCCTCAGGCATGGGCATTTTTTGTGGAAACAAGTGAGTTACCACCATGTGAAAACAGTCCACTTGCTGAATGAATGAAATAGGAAATTCTACTCCAACAAAAAGAGCTGAGCTGAAGTTTCCCTTACTGCAGGTGACTTCAGCCAGGCCTGATAATCCCTTCACATTGCCAATTCTCTCTATCCCTGAGCATGACCCATTAAAATGTATCTACACTTTGTTAGTGATAACAGCTTTCTGGGCCCTGGCTGGGTTATTGATTCAATACAGACCATTGCAAACTCTAAGTTTTAATAAAAGCAGCAATTCTCTGAGGCCATATGAAAAATGCAGAGAGAAAAATAAGGAAGAAAAGAAAGCAGGCACCTACTCAGTTACTCCGGCTCTGCAGCTTCCTACCCCCGCCCCCGGCCCCATCTAATTACCCTTTTCCTTGTCTTGTCTTTGAGGAAGGGTTTGATTAGCGTGTACAGGGCATGGATGTACCAGGGCTGGTTGACAAAATGGACTCCTCCAAAACGGGCAGGAAAGCTGTCCTACAGAAAGAAAGAAAGAAAAGGAAGGCAGTTAATAGTTGCAGTGCTTTAGCCTGGCAGTTAATAGGATGAAAGTCAGAGGAAGAAGTCTGCCTCTTTCCATCTGCGGACGAGCACTGGGCTTGCTGGAAGGGGGGCAGGAGGGAGATGGAGAAAGAAAGACGCCTGGAAACGTTTGCATCAGTTTCTTCTGTTAGCAGACACAGTCCCTTCTCCCCTCCACACACTAACGCATCAATTGCTGATGATTTAAAGTAGGCTCTCCAGACACTTTGCCTGAACATTTTTTAACTCCATCAGGGCATCTGACTTGGCTGGGATGGGAAGTGAGAGGGGGCTGATGAGCACCGCTCCCTCGAGGGGAAGCTTTCTAATTTCTCATTGTGCGGCGTAAGGCAAGCCCCCGGTTCCCACGCACATCGCTGCACACAGCTCACCTTTTCACCCTTCGGCCTCCCTGCCTCCCCCCTGTTAAAATCATCATTACAATGGCTGACCTTTCGGGGTGAGCGAGCAGCATATTATGGGGAGGAGGATGGGTGGGAAATGCTGATAAGTGAAGGTGTAGGGAGAGCGCACCATGACGGCACCATGGAAACTGCTGGAGCCCAGCGCTCGCTGCCAGGCTGTGCACAAACACCCTCGGCATTAGCATGCAGGTAGCGTCCCACCAGGGAGGTGTTTGCAATAGCGTCCTACTCCGCTCAGCCTGTGTGGCACGCTTAATAAAAGAGGAGGTTGCTGGCGTGTCTTTAAAGGTTATTGTATATTGTGATGGGCATTTTGTACCTACACTCTCATCTAACAAATGTCAGTCAGTCAGGGAAAAGCCTAGGATTTTTTTGCCTGCATAAATAGTGGGACGGCTGCTGCTTCTGCGTGCAAATACGCTTCCAGCGAGAGGAGAGGTGCCTATCTCTCCCCCGTGATGGGAGATCCTGATGAAGCCGTCCTCATCCTGCCTGTGCTCCTAACCCCTACAGCTCAGCATATAAAGACAGAGCATAATCAGGTCTCTTCCTTCAGGGCTTTGGCTTCAGGACTCAGGCAGGTTCATTCCCCCCACAATTAGCGTGGGGTATCCTGGGACTTTCTCTCACCTTTCTCCGGAGCATCAGAGATTGAGCACAGCTGGTGAGGATATGGGGTGGATTTGTGAGATGATATGGAAAATCCCCTTATACACCTGCTCGGTATAGCTTCTGCGCCACTTCAAGGTCAAATTATTTCCCAGATTTAGCACTATGTAGGCATCCCACCACCTCCTACCACCCAAGGCAGATTGGCAGGACTCTATGCTATTAAACACTGGCCATGGATTGCCCTGGCAGTCATCTTAAACCATACTCGGGTAACGTTTGTGAGCAGCTACAGGCATTAAGTGATACCTTTTTCTTTTGCTATACAGTAGTATAAGCCGCTTACACCTTGGACATGTCAGTTTATCTGAAATCATTACAAATCTCAATATTGGATGCTCTGTGCAAGACTAGTGGGTAGTCAGGCCAGCACGCAGGGAGGCCAAGCAGTGCAACATAACAGGTTATCCCATTTTAAATCCCAATAACCTATGAGCTGAGCTTTTTAAGGATGGCACACGTTCTGTGGAGGTGCTCATTCACTATAAAGACAACAGTATTTCCATTGCTGCTGGAATATTCATTAGAGTTTAGGAATGCAGCTCTGACTGGTATAAACTACTGCAGTGCTACAGGTTGCAGTGAATTCAACTGGGCTGTGCTGAGAAACAGCTGCAGAGAATCTGAGCGCACCTAGAAAAAACATTGACGGACAGAAGTGTGAAGTGAAGCCAAAAGTGATTTTCTACCCTGTGATAACCTGACATTGGGTTTTAGAGCAGACCAGAGCCAAAAATGCCCATCTCATGCAAAATTCACATATTCAGTTGCTTTCCTCCCACATGGGAATGAAAATTTGAAGATCTGAAACTTTCACAGAATATTGTAAAAAAAATAAATAAATTAAGAGATATTGGAATGTTCCACATTTGCCTTTTTTTTTTTTTTTAATTCTATATTTGTCAAGGCCACTGCCATGCCACAAGTTGTATCACTAAGGGAGAAGTTCTGGACCCCTTTGCCCTTTGGGGCTGAGCTGCTACAGCTGTCACAGGTTGTACCATAGCAGCATAGGTCAGCGTAGAAGACACAGTCTGAGTCTGAAGCAAAGAACAGTAAAGAAATGAGAGATGGGAAGCAGGGAAATAACTTTAAGACACAGAGATTTATACTGACCTGCAAAAGAAAAATTGTTTTTCCTTCTCACTGGAATGCACAGATGATATTAATCACAATCTTCAGCAAGAAATGTCAGTCAGACTTCATTTCCAAGGGGGAATGTGGTTTTTTTAGAACATGTTGACCATTACCAATGTGATAATGATACCACATTACCCAGAAAGGTCTGAATGCTGAGAATTATAGGAACCAGCCAGAGGTTTAAAGTGGCAGACTGCCTCTGGAAAAGGTCGTCTAAGGAGAAGGATGTGCTTTCCTATATAGAAAATTAATTTTATGTCCACCCAACATAGATTGTTGAGTCCATAAACTAGACTCTGTCTGGTACATCAGTAGATTAAGTGTTACAGGAAAGCCCCCCATATAACAGTTTTATTTAAAGGCAATTGCTTTCTTTTCATTCTGAAGGTACACCCGAAAATGCACAAAGACCCTTGAAAAGGCAGCATGATGACCGGGAAAAAAACAACCAAAGAACATTTTTTTGTGTGTAACTTTCTGCTAATTTTTGTTCCTTACCCTATTAAGCACAATAAGCTCTATTTGACCTTCATCTCTCAGTCCACCTGCATTTGTAAGGCTGTCAATTAGAGCAAGGACAAAGACATAATTTTTTTTTTAAACCAAAGAAATTTGATATGGGAATCATCCAGACACTGTTTGGAACCGCAACATACCAATTTTGCAGAAGTCCCTAATTAGAGCAGAGCTGTCTTGGAAAGAAAAGCTCCCGTCTGGAGGTCTGCCTTGTGGAGTTCCAGGAAGATGTATGAGACCTTTCCCACACCCCACTTAGTGTCTCTGCTGCTTTCCCTGGGGCAAGGTGAAAGTAGCTGAAATTGATTTTCTGCTGGAGAGCTTTTGCTTTTAGGAATTCTCTTTTGATTTCTCATGTCTTGTGATTCCTTGGGAAGGTGTATTTTATAATGAGGTGCATTTTTTGGAGCCTACTGTGAAAAGGACCCTGGGATCATGGAGCCTTTTCTTAACCTGATTCCTTGTTAAAAATACCTAATCCTGAGGATATATTTACATTTTATTCCAATGGCATAAATAAAATATAGCACGTAGGAATTGGTCTAATTATTTGTGGGCACTACTGTCATTTTATCTGAAAACCAGGCTGGACATATTAGCAGGCTGCTCAGAGATGCAATTGCAGCGTGAACAAATACATCCAACCCAGTGCTAATCTAGCTAACTTGCTACTCAGCAATACCAGGGAAGAAACAGTGAAAGGACTCCAGGTACCTGCTTGGGCAGCTAGCTCACTCCAGAGTCAGACCACGTCTTCTTCATTGGGACCCGAAGTGAATTAAGCCAAGGAATATATCTAACCATGCTGCAGTGGCACCTTTCCCAAACTGTAAAGGTAAACCTAGAGAGACAAAATTGTCCAAACACAGGGTTTTAGTTGTTCCTGTTGATTGAATGAAACTGGTGCCCAAGATGAGTCTTTTCTTTTGCCTGATTTGTCTTTTTGTAACTTTATATATTCTTTTCTTTACTGTTTTCAGTTATTGCCCTCTGCATCATCCCCAAAGAAGAGAAAGAAATGAACACTGGAGCTTCCACAGACAGGTTTTCCTCTACTCTGCAGCTATTTCCAAGCCCTGTGTACTCTGAGGGCATGCCAAGGTAGAAGCAAACCAGTTTGCAATTATTGCCACCGGCAACATTAATTTTGCATTCCCGTCTCTTCAAAAACACAGGGGAGCAAAAAAAGATAAGGGAAAGATGAGCAACTTGTCCAGACGGAGGTTTGAAAACGTGACAGTAGAGGAAACCCCAAAATCCATACAGGCCTCAATACATCTTTCATTTCAGATTGGAGAAGTGTCTCCAAGCTTGTAGATCAGAGGAAAATGTTACGGAGAACATTGTTTCTCTTCTCCGCTCAGACCTCCTGTGCAGGGAAATGTCTGAACTGAAATGAGTCTGGGACTGAAAACCCTCAGTACATAATGTTCCGCTAAATAGCTCAGGAACGATAGCTACAAGGTGAATGAGAGACAATTTTTCACTATTTCTGCCCGTTCGTGCCTTCACAACATCTATTTCTTTTGGCATGAGTATGCATCAGAAACCTTTTACTGTGTTGTTGTTCTGAACTGCCTGAAGGCTAAAAATCAAGATGATGTCCCAGCATCTCCTCACGCCAAAGTGTGGCAGGAAAAGCAAAACAATCTGTGGAATACCAAAGTTAGGTATAAATCCAGCCTGATGCTCAGGGCCAATCTTTTTGAACTGCACGAATTGGCTACATAGACCAATGACCTGAGCTCAAAAACCAAGTTACGGCATTTTTCTGGGTTATGGGACATCTGAATTTTGTGACACAAACATTTTTAAAATGCTTTCATAACTTCTACCCTTTGCAATCAGAAAAACAAACACACATCTTGCCAACCAAATGCACTTTAATCTCGACCATACTTGCCAGTTTACTGCAAATCAAAATATAATCCCCTTTGAAAGAAAATAATTTCCCGTAGATTCAGGAAGATTTTGATCATAAACAAAACTGTTTAAACCAAAAGGTCATTTAAACTGAGGATAAAAACAGCATCTTCATGCCTGTGCACTTACATAATCAGTCCCCGCAGTGGATTAAAGCTCCCACAGACCATATTAATAGTTCAGGAAGATTTTATTAATAGTTTGGTGATAGTTTCTCCACAGAGAGTTTCCGCGAGTGTGTGATTTTAATGGATTGGCACGATAAGGGAAGGAGGCTTTCTG